GGCCTCAAACAGCTAAAGCAATGTTGAAAGATAAGAACGAAACAGGAGGACTCACACTTCCTGATTTTAAAACAGCCACAATAATCAAAACAGCCTGGTACGGGTATAACAAGAGACACACAGACCAACAGAATAGAACTGAGAGTCTAGAAACAAACCTACACATTTATGATCAACTGATTTTTGACAAGGGTGCTCGTCCATTCAATGGGGAAAGGAGAGTCTCTTCAATAAATGGTAGTGGGAAAACTGGATTTCCACATGCAGAAAAATGAAACAGGATCCATGCTTCACACCATACACAAAAACAAATTCAAAATGGACTAAGGACATATACATGAAATCTAAAACCATAAAATTATTAGAAGAAAATGCAAGGGCAATGCTGAAGGGCCTAGCTTTTAATAATGGATAATCTAATACGTAACAAAAACACAAATAGCAAAAGACAAAGTAAATAAACGGGACCTCATAAAAATTAAAAACTCTTGTTCACCAAAAGACTCTCCAAAAAAGTGCAAAGACAAACTATCGACTGGGAGGATATCTTCAGAAACCACACATTCAATAAGAATCTAATAATCAAAATATATATATAACTTTGACAACTTAACAATAACAAGGCAAATAACCCAATCATAAAATGGCAAAAGGATTTGAATAAATATTTCAACAAAGAGAACATTCAAATGGCCACGAAACACATGAAAAGATGCTCAATGTCATTAGCCATCAGAGAGACACAAATCAAAACCACATCGAGATACCATTTCACTACCACATACCATTTCATGCCCACCTGACCCATGCCATGGTATTTTCAACTGCCTCATATGCACGCAAAAGCTGGACAATGAATAAGGAAGACTGAAGAATTGCCATCTTTGAATTATGGTGTTGGCAAGAATATTGAATATACCACAGACTTCCAGAAGAACGAACAAATTTGTCTTCGAAGAAGTACATCCAGAATATTCCTGAGAAGCAAGGCTGGCGAAATTTCGTCTTACGTACTTTGGACATATTATCAGGAGGGACCAGTCCCTGGTGAAGGACTTCATGCATGGTACAGTAGACGGTCAGCGAGAAACAGTAAGACCCTCTCGGAGACAGACTGACATGGTAGCTCCAACAATGGGCTCAAACATAGCAATGATTGTGAGGATGGCGCAGGACCAGGCAGTTTTGTTCTGTAGTACACAGGGTTGTTATGAGTCGGAATTGACTCGACAGCACCTAACAACAAAGGACGGCTAAGACAAAAAAAAAAATTCTGGCGAGGCTGTAGGAAAACTGGAACCCTTATACACTGCTGATGGGAATGCTAAATGGCACAGCTGTTGTGGAAAACAGTGCGACAATTCCTCAGAACACTAGAACAAAAACAGAACTACCACATGACCCAGCAATTCCACTCCTAGGTATAGAACCACAAAATCTGAAAGCAGAGACTCAAACAGAGCCTTGTAAAACAATGTTTACTGCAGCACTATTCACAATAGCCAAAAGGTAGAAACAACCTAAATGCCCATCAACAGATGAATAAATAAACAAAATGTGGTACATACATCCAATGGAATACTACTTAGCCGGTAGGAGAAACGAAGTCTTGATCCATGCTACAATGTGGATGGAGCCTGAACACATTACACTTAGTGAAATAAGTTAATCACAAAAGGACAAATATCGAATGACCTCACTTACGTAAAAATACAAGAAAAGGCAAATGTACAGAAACCAAAGTTTATTAGTTGTTATCAGGGGTGGGAGGGAGGGGGAAAGCGAAGGGTTAACGGTGAAGGACTAAACACATTGAATAAGGGTAGGTTGCACAGCCAATTATTGTAATTGCTATCAATTAAGTTGTACACCTATAAAAAGTTGAACCGGAAAAAAGATTGTGATAGATGTATTTATGACAAAAAAAAAAAAAAAGAGTAGCAGCTGTGGCTGCTTAGGTACAAGCAAACACCTCATGGGATTTGGTTCCTTGGTTTGGAGATTTAGGGTCATGGTTGCATGGGACTTCCCAGTTATCTGGTGTAATAATGTGTATAGTGCTTCTGTTCTACCTCCTAGTTCACTGCATAGTGTCTGGAGTCTTAAAAGCTTGCAAGCTGCCATCCAAGGCAAAATTGGTCTCTATCTGCCAGGAGCAACAAAGGAAAAAGAAGAGTCAGGAATAGAAGGAGGATATAGCCTTGGTGATACAAACAACACTGAAGGTGGCACGACAGAATTGTACAAGACCAATGACTTCTGCATTGCAAATACCTTTTTTCAACAACATAAATGGTAACTATACACGTGGACCTTGCCAGATGGAATACACAGGAATCAAATTGACTACATCTGCAGAAAGAGAAGATGGAAAAGCTCAGTAACATCAGTCAGAACAAGGCCAGGGGCCAACTGTGGAGAAGACCATCAACTGCTCTTTTGCATTTTCAAGTTGAAGCTGAAGAAAATTAGAACAAGTCCACTGGAGCCAAAGCACAACTTTGAGTAGATCCCACCTGACTTTAGAGACGGTCACAAGAACAGATTTGATGCGTTGAACACTAATGATCGAAGACCAGATGAGTTGTGGAATGACATCAAGGACATCATACATGAAGAAAACAAGCGGTCTTTAAAAGAAAGAAAAGACCAAGATGGATGTCAGAAGAGACTCTGAAACTTGCTCTCAAACATAGAGTAGCTAAAGCGAATGGAAGAAATGATGAAGTAAAAGCTGAAAAGAACACTTCAAAGAGTGGCTGAAGAAGACAAAGTACTATAATGAAAAATGCAAAGACCTAGAATACCAAAAGGGAAGAACACGCTCACTATTTCTCCGGCTGAAATAACTGAAGAAAAAATTCAAGCCTCAAGTTGCAATACTGAAGGAGTCTACAAGCAAAATATTAAACAACTCAGGAAGCATTAAAAGAAGAAGGAATACACATACACACAGTCACTGCACCAAAAAGAACTGGTCAATGTTCAACCATTTCAGGAGGGAGCATATGATCGAGAACTGATGGTTCTGAAGGAAGAAATCCAAGCTGCACTGAAGACACTGGCAAAAAACAAGACTTCAGGAATTGACGGAATACCAATGAGATGTTTCAATAAATAGATGCAGCACTAGATGTGCTCACTCATCTACGCCATGAAATTTGGAACACAGCTACCTGGCTGATCAACTGAAAAAGATCTGTATTAGCGCCCATTCAAAAGAAAGGTGATCCAACCAAATGCGGAAATTATTGAACAATATCATTAATATCACACGCAAGTAAAATTTTGCTGAAGATCATTCAAATACGGTTGCAGCAATACAATACATCGATAGGGAACAGCCAGAAATTCAAACCAGATTCAGAAGAGGGCATGGAACGAGGTATATCACTGCTAATGTCAGATGGATCTTGGCTAAAAGCAGAGAATACCAGCAAGATGTTTACCTGTGCTTTACTGACTGTATGGATCATAACAAATTATGGATAACACTGCGAAGAATGAGAATTCCAGAACACTTAATTGTGCTCATGAGGAACCTGCACATAGGCCAAGAGGCAGCTGTCCAAACAGAATAAGGGGATACTACGTGGTTTAAAGTAAGGAAAGGTGTGTGTCATGGCTGTACTCTTTCACCATACTTATTCAATCTCTATGCTGAGCAAATAATCTAAGAGGCTGGATTATATGATGACGAATGCAGCATCAAGATTGGAGGAAGACTCATTGACAACCTGCAATATGCAGGATGACACAACCTTGTTTGGTGAAAGTGAAGAGGACTTGAAACACTCACTGATGAAGATCAAAGAGTAAAACCTTCAGTATGGATTACATCTTAACATAAAGAAAACAAAACTTCTAAGAATTGGACCAATAAGCAACATCATGATAAACGGAGAAAAGACTGAAGTCAAGAATTTCATTTTGCTCGGATCCACAATCAACGCCCATGGAAGCAGCAGTCTAGAAATAAAATGACACATTGTACTGGGCAAATGTGCTGCAAAAGACCTCTTTAAAGTGTTGAAAAGCAAAGATGTCACCTTGAAGACTAAGGTGAGCCTGACCCAAGCCATGGTATTTTCAATCGCCTCATAGGCATATGAAAGCTGGACAATGAATAAGGAAGACCAAAGAAGAAATGACACCTTTGAATTATGCTGCTGACGAAGAATATCAAATATACCATGGAATGCCAGAGGAATGAATGAATCTGTCTTGGAAGAAGTACAGCCGGAATGCTCCTTAGAAGCAAGGATGGGGAGACTTTGTCTGACATGCTTTGGACGTTATCAGGAGGGATCAGTCCCTGGAGAAACACATCATGCTTGGTAAAGTAGAGGGTCAGAGAAAAAAAGAGAAAGACCTTCAACAAAATGGACTGACACAGTGGCTGCAACAATGGGCTCAAGCACAACGACGACTGTGAGGATGGCGAACCGACCTGGCAGAGTCTCGTTCTGTGGTACATAAGGTCTTTACGAGTTGGAACCAATTTGATGGCACCTAACAACAACAGTCTAGCTTAATCAGCAAAAAAGTCTCTGAGCGTTATGCTCTTCTAATAACTAGCTATCTGGGATCAAACTGGTAACGGCTACTTGAAGTACTAGATAGGAAACCTTAGGGAGCAGTGAGTTTATATTAATGGCAGAGGAACAACTAAGAAAAGGAGGGTAAGAATGGTTACACGACTCAAAGTACGTAATAAATGTCACTAAATTGTACGTGAAGAAACGGCTGAATTGGTGTTGTGTTTTGCTGTTTATATACTCAATGATAACAACAAAATTTAAAAAAAAGGGTCGGGAGGGGAAGTTCAGTTGTATTCCTCTTCCCGTACTCCTTGCTGCCCACACCTTACGTTGTCCTGAAGCCCTGTTATTTTTACTCCAAGAAATTCCACGGCGCAGGAATTTTCAGGAACACAGATGCTACGTCATGGAGAAACGACATCCTGCAACCACGAGATGTACAGAAATGGAACCGCGTACCTGATCTGTGACACCAGTGTTGGCAGGTTGCTCTGGAGAAGCGGCTCAGAAAAGACCAGATTCTCAAACAGGTGCTTATTATGCAGCTCCCATGTCACCTGGAACTTTTTCAAATGCTCATTTTCCTAAATTAAAAAAAAAAAACAGAAACGTACTGAACGATGAAGATTCAAAGATTCCGAGAAAGATGTTTCCCCGCCCCCCCACACGACCCAAGATGCTCTGTTTACGAGCAGCCACTGTGCCTCGTCTGTCCTAAAGTGCAGCGACGCACGTCTCATTCTTTTAGGAATTGTGAAATCACACTCTCCGGGGAGGCATAGCAGGAAAAACAGCAGGTAGCACACTGAATCAAAGTGGAACTTCCTTCCATAGCTCGTCCAGTAGATCTCATCCTCGTTGGGGTCCTCCACGTTTGAGCATATAGGGTCCTGCGACCACAACGTTGAGAAGTACGGCTCTGAGGTGTGGACTTTAAAAGGTGGAACCAAGTTCACCTCACTCCAGCTCCACCTACCTCAGATCATTGGGCGGCACTTTAAGAACGTTGCTATGACTGCTGAACCTTGTTGGATCCCCATTTGAACATCCCAACTATAAAAGGGCATTTGTGAGATAATCGGGAAATGTTTAGTATTCGTCACTATTAAGGAATCACTTACTGTCCGTTTTCTTGGTTGTGGTAATGGTTCTATGGTTATGTAAGATAGTCCTTTTTAGAGATGCATACTGAAATGGTTTTGGAAAAACTGGCACACTGTCTGGGACTTGCTTTAAGATACTGCACAAAAAAGAGACAGAGGGTGGAGGGGAAGGAGAAAAAGAAGGCTACCAAATCCAGTGTGCTGGATGTACAGAAACTCATTATATTGCTCTCTATTTTGAATCCAGAATTATACTCATTTATCATATCCTATTGGCAATTTTAAATAAATTCCTGTATTTGGCTCTTGATATCGTGTTTTATCAGGTGTTCCGTAGTTGTCATTGTGCTGTATCTTTGTTGTTGTTAGGTGTTGTCGAGTCAGTTCTGACTCATAGCGACCCCACGTACAACAGAACGAAACCCTGCCTGGCCCTGTGCCATCCACACAATCATTGCTATGCTTGAGCCCATTGTTGCAGCCACTGTGTCAGTCCATCTCCTTGACGATCTTCCTTTTTTCGATGACTCTCTAATTTCCTAAGCATGATGTCCTTCTCCAGGGACTGGTTCCTCCTGATAACATGTCCAAAGTACATGAGACAAAGTCTACTCATTCTCACTTCTAAGGAGTATTCAGGCTGTACTTCTTCTAAGACAGATTTGTTCATTCTTCTGGCAGTTCACGGTATAGTCAATATTCTTCGCTAACCCAGTAATTCAAAGGCATCAATTCTTCTTCAGTCTTTCTTATTTATGGTCCAGATTTCACATGCATAAGAGATGACCGCAAATACTATGGCTTGGGTCAGGCACACTTTGGTCCTCAAAGTGACATCGTTGCTTTTGAACATTTTAAAGAAGTCTTTTGCTACTTTGAGAGACAGAGTAGCAGGGATGGGGGGTCTGGGGACCATGCTTTCAGGGGATATTTAGGTCAATTGGCATAACAAAGCTTATTAAGAAAATGTTCTGCATCCTACTTAGGTGAGGGGCATCTGGGGTCTTAAAAGCTTGCAAGCGGCCATCTAAGATGCATCAATTGGTCCCAACCACTTGGAGTAAAGGAGAACGAAGAACACCAAAGACACAAGGAAAGTATTAGCCCAAGAGACAGAATGGGCCACATAAACCAGAGACTTCATCAGCCTGAGACCAGAAGAACTAGATGGTGCCCGGCTACCACCAATGAACATCCTGACAGGGAACACAACAGAGGGTTCTTGATGGAGCAGTAGAACAATGGGGTGCAGAACTCAAATTCTAGTAAGAAGACCAGACTTAATGGTCTGAGACTGGAGGCACCCCAGAAAGCATGGCCCCTGGACTCTCTATTACCCCAGAACTAAAACAATTTCCAAGGCCAACTCTTCAGACAGGGATTGGATTGGGCTGTGGGACATAAAGTGATACTTGTGAAGAACGTGCCTCTTAGTCAAGTAGATACAAGAGACCAAGGGGGCAGCTTCTGTACAGAGGTGAGATGGGAAGGCAGAGAGAATTAGGAGCTGGCCGAATGTTCATGGGGAATCAAGGGCGGAGGGGAGGAGTGTGCTGTCGCAAAATGGGGTGAGCAGTTGGGGTCTCATAACAATATGTTAAGAAAAAAAATTCTGTATGGGAGACTAACTTGAAATGTAAACTTCATTTAACTACAACAATTAAAAAAAAAAAGAAGAAGTCTTTTGCAGCAGATTTGCCCAATACAATGCATCATTTGATCTCTTGACTGCTGCTTCCACGGGCGTTGATTGTGGATCCAACTAAAATGAAGTCCTTGACAACTTCAATTTTTTCTGTTTATCATGATGTTGCTTATTGGTCCAGTTGTGAGGATTTTTGTTTTCTTTATGTTGAGGTGTATTCCATACTGAAGGCTGCAGTCTTTGATCTTTATCAGCAAGTGCCTCAAGTCCTCTTCGCTTTCAGCAAGCAAAGTTGTGTCATCTGCATATTGCAGGTTGTTAAATAAGTCTTCCTCCAAACCTGATGCCGCATTATTCTTCATATAGTCCAGCTTCTTGGATTATTTACTCAGCATATAGATTGAATAAGTATGATGAAAGGATACACCTCTGACGCACACCCTTCCTGATTTGAAAACATGCAGTATCCCCTTGTTCTGTCTGAACGACAGCCTCTTGGTCTACGTACAGGTGCTTCATGAGCACAAGTGTTCCAGAATTCCCATCCTTCGCAATTGTTATGATTGAGTTGTGTCCCCCAAAAATGTGTGTAAACTTGGCTAGGCCATGATTCCTAGCATTGTGTGTTTGCCCACCATTGTGTCATCTGATGTGATTTTCCTATGTGTTGTAAACCCTACCTCTATGATGTTAACGAGGCAGGGTTAGAGGCAGTTATGTTAATCAGCAGGACTCAATCTACAAAATTAGATTGTGTCTTAAATCAATCTCTTTCGAGATATAAAGCAAAGAAGTGAGCAGAGAGACATGGTGACCTCATACCACCAAGAAACAAGAGCCAGGAGAACAGTGCATCCTTTGGACCTGGGGTCCCTGCGCTGAGAATCTCCTCCCCTGGGGAAGACTGATGACAAGGACCGTCCCCCAGAGCCGACAGAGGAAGAGACCCTTCCCCTGGAGCTGGCACTCTGAATATGGACTTCTAGCATCCTAGGACTGTGAGAGAACAAAATTCTCCTTGTTAAAGCCATCTACTTGTGCTATTTCTGTTACAGCAGCACTGGATAACTAAGACAGCAATGTTATCCATAATTTGTTCTGATTCACAGAGTCAAGTGTCTTTTTGAAGTCAAAAAAACACAGGTAAACATCTTTATGGTATTCTCTGCTTTCAGTCAAGATCCATCTAACATCAGTAATGATATTCTCTGTACCACATCCTCTTCTGAATCTGGCTTGAATTTCTGGCACTTCCCTATAAATGCTGTATCTAGATAAGGATTTATTATTTATCTCATTTAGGAAATTATATAGGCTTCCTCAATCTAAACATTGGTATCTTTTGACAATTCTGGAAAATTCTCATCCAGCATCTCTATCCCCATTCTCTCTAATCTCCTCTGAAAGTCTGATGAGCTATAATTAAGCCTCCTCACTAAATCCTTATGCCTTAATATTTTTCTATGTCCCATTTCTTTGTCTCTTTGAGCTATATTCTGTAAAATTCCTTTACTTTCCTTCCAATTCATTAATTCTCTCTTCAGCTATATTTATTCCAGTTTAATATATTCAGTAAGTGTTTTGTTGTTAACAACTGTGTATTCTTTAATTCTAGTTTTGTTCGTTTCTTTTTCAAATCTACTTGATGGTTCTTCACAGTCTTGACTCTTGACTCATAATTCCAAACATTTTTTCATTTCTTTACATGTAGTAGACATAGTTATTTTATATTCTTTGAGAATTTAAATGTCTTTGGTATCTGATTATGTCTGTTGTTTCTGCTGGCTCTCAATCATGCTGTCTTCAAGCTTGTATTTTGTTTTTTATGAACTGAGAACTGCTCATTTTCTTGGGACTTTTATCTATGGAAACTCAGTCAAGTTAGACTGAAGGTAGAGCCCTTCAGAGGTGATCTGTATGACCTTCTGCCAGGTGCCTGACATTTCTATCAACCTCAGACCACTTTAAACAATTTCTAGGCTTTAGATTCTCACATATCACAAACAGCACTGATTCAGACTGCAAACCTTTGTGAAACCTCAGGGAAGGTCTTCTTTCCCCACTCTGCTCATCACCAGATCATGATGGGCATGCTTCCTTGCTATCCCTCCAGTGCACAGCTTCTCCCTACACTTAGGCTGTAGTCATTTGTGGCAGCAGCATTACATGCTAACCCTACCTTGGGCTGGACTTAGGTTTTATCTCCTGTTTCCTACACCTATGGAGCTGTCAAGGCAGAAGGTGAGAATCTCCGGGGGTGAGAAGTCCTAAGAGTGAATCCTGGCTTTTGAGCACACGTCTTTTTCAGGGTTCATGTTTTCAACTTATTTTTCATCTCTAAGGCTTATTCTCTTTCATGTCATCACAGCGATGTGGTTTAAAAGATTTTATGTTATCTAGTAATCTGCTCTTTCCCTTGGAGGAAGGAGTAGTTCAGGGTATCTAGTCTGCCATATCACTAGAAGCCAAAGTGAATATCTCTGTGTAAAGGAACTGTAATAAAACACTGACCAAATAGCAACATTTTGGACTAAGAGTTTGAGGTCTTTTTCCAAATCACAAGAAAACATTTCAGAGTAATATGGTAGGAAGTGCTTGCAGTAAACATGGTTTAAATTAAATTTTTTGAGCTTCCTAAAACAGTGTTCTTCTCAAACATCTGAGGAGGGTCTAGACTTCAGCAGCACAACAGCATCTCTGTAACACCATGTTTAGGTGGGCAGGTGAGACCTTGGCTGTACTAACATCCTGTCTCCTTTCTCAGGAGACAGGGGGACCAGCAGCCTTCACAGAGAAGGTGGCACTGGATTTAGACCTCTGAAGAACAGGTAGAATTTCAATAAGCAGAGACAGGAGAGGGAATGCCAGAAGAGATGCAAAATGAAGGAACAGGCACAAAGGGAAGACCTGGGATTTGCTTCCAATTTCTTAGATTTGGGTCTTGAAGCAGAAATCAAAGCCCACACACATTCACCTAGTTATCTTTTCTCACAATGGATGCTTCCCCAAGGTTTTAGGACGTCACTTAGAGCAATGGCCAAGGGGGATTCTTGAGGAAACCCAAGAACCCGTGAAATTACTTGTGTGAAAATGGTGTGAACGTAAATATTTCTAGAGAGATGATCCTTTAACTTATTTAAAATCAGATAAACACCAGTGGAAGCCCTGGTAGTATAGCAGTTAAGCTCAGCTGATAAATCAAAAGGCTGGCAGTTTGAATCCACCAGCCGCTCCTTGGAAACCCTATGGGGCAGTTCTACTCTGTCCCATAAAGTCGCTATGAATTGGAGTCAACTCGATGGCAACACGTTTGTTTGTTTTTTCAACACCATTCGGCTTAAAATGTTAGCTAGGAGCCACTTTTTACTATGTTTGTTTTAAAATATAGTTTTACCACTAAGAAAGCACCAAGTAGCCCAATGAAGCATTATGTAATAATAAAACTGAACTGATGATGAAAACTTCTGCAGACTGTTAGTAAAGGGGTGCTTCTGTAAAGGTCACGAAAGCTTAACCGGCCTGTGCCTTTGGAGAGCGGGGTCTCCTCCTGACAAGCAGCAGGTGCGCCGAGGCTGTCTACGCGCGATCCTGAGGTGACCATTCACTCATCACCTTCTTCACCCAGTGCCTTTCTGAGGTGGTCAGTGGCCCCAATGAGAACACATCTGTCAGTCTCCTCCCGTAGGACTGTGAGACCCTTGAACGTGGGATGATGTCTTAGCATCTGGATCGCTGAACAAAAGCCAGGGGAGCATGGCCAAATACCTACCTGTCAATATGCTGCCCTCTAGGGTCCTCACGTCACGGTCTCCCACGACAACAAAACAGATTTTCAATGAACTTAAAACCCAAAATATTTCTTTAGCTGGAGGAAAACCTTCTCCTCCCTGTTAATGTGCACGTGCGCAGACACAGACACAGACACAGACACACACACACACACACACACACTGTTCCTTACTTCCTTGCCCCACCTCCCCCACTGCTCAGGCCTCAGGGTCATCCCAAGCAGTGTTTCCATGAATACCACCTGGATATCAATCCACTCAATGCTTTTATCCAGCAGCAAAGTCCAGAGGAAAGTTTGTAAAGCCAAGAAAAAGAGGAGAGCAAACGGGAGCATGAGCATCAAGTCGAAGTGTAGGCCCTCTCCTACTTGCCTGAACCAGGCCTCACGGGAGGGGAGGGTGTGGAGTGGTCATAAAAACAGTGCACGGGCCTCAAGTCCTCGGCTGACCACCCACTTACACTCTTTAACTCATCCAATCCACAGACACCAAAAACAAAACAAGGTGAGTCTCTCTCTTACCAGAGTGCCCAGAAAGGAGCTGATGGTGCGTGCGGCCTGGCAGAGGGCGCCATACTCCTCCAGGAGCAGGGAGATGAACTGGTGTGCCTGGGGCGGGCCTGGGAGGGCCGAGGGCGCTTTCACCTTGGCTGCTGCCGACAGCTGCCTGAGAAGCCGCACCTTCATCTCCAGCACGTACTCTCTGGCCTGCTGCTCCAACCGCTGGTATAGCTGGTAGGGGTCCCTCTCGCAGAGCCTGCACAGAGAGGAGAACAGGGGTCACCCAGGGCCAGCCCACACAATGGGAATGATGTTCTGGAGTAGCGAGCACTTCTTCTGAAGCCACACTCTGGGCCGATGACCATAACCCTCATCACCTGTGAGAGGTGCGATCAGGACCCCACTTCCCAGGCAGCCTGGGCACAGACTGCCTCAGGAGCTTGTCCAAATTCACCAGTCGATTAACTGAAAACCAGCCATCTGTTGAGAACTTACTCTGGCCAGCACCGTTTCTTCACACGCATTAATGCATGGAATCCTCACATGGCAGGCATTGCTGCATCTCCATTTTACAGGCGGGAAAACTCAGGCACATACAGGTTGGGTCACTTGTTTGAGATCCCACAGCCAGTGGGTGGCAGAGCTTGGACTCACTCTCAGCAGCCTGGTTCTGAGTGCACTGTCCTAACCACTAAGCTAGGCTGAAGGAGCCCTGGTGGCACAATGGTTAAGCACTTCGCTGCTAATCAAACAGTCAGCTGTTGAAACCCAAGAGCCGGTCCACAGGAGAAGGACCTGCAATCTGCTCCCATAAAGATAACAGCCTAGGAAACTCTTGGGGGCAGTCCTACTCTGTCCTATAGGGTTGCTATGAGTCGGAATCAACTGGACAGCACACAACAACAACAAAGCTAGACCAACCCCAAAATCATTCAACATAACACAGTGAAAACAATTATTCCTGAATGTTTATACTGCTAACAGATGAAAAGGTGACAACACCCACAGAGATGACCATGGGCTGCAGGATGCAGCAGAATTCGCCAGTGGGCTTGAAATCCGTTTATAATCAGAGAAAACTTTAGAGAAAGTTGATCCTATTTTTAAATTACCTCACCATAAAAGCAATAACAGTGTAGAGAATAAAATCTGTAAGCGGAAAAGTAGGGGAAATACGAATACATGTCCCACCACCAGGCAACAAATGCAATGAACACTTTCATGCATTTCCTTCCAAACTTGGAGCCCATCCACTTTTAAAGCCTTGTTCTGTACTATACCATGTATTAGAACTTTATTCCTTTTTATTGCTGAATAATATTCCATTACATGTATATATCACAATTCATCCATTCCTCTGTTGATGGACACTGACACTATTTCCACCTTTTGACTGTTGTGAATAACGCTGCAATGCATACTGGTGTGCAAGTATCAGTTTGTGCTCCTGCTTTCAATTTCGTTTGGTATATACCTAGGAGTGGAATTGGTGGATCATTTGGTCATTCTATGTTTAACTTTTTGAGGAACTATCAAACTGATTTTCACAGCAACTGCACCGTTTTACATTCTTACCAGTAATGCACAAACCCGTTGCTGTCAAGTCGATTCCGACTCACAGCGACCCTGTAAGGACAGAGTAGAGCTGCCTCATAGGGTTTCCAAGGAGTGGCTGATGGATTCAAACTGCTGACCTTCTGGTTAGCAGTCGAACTCTTAACCACTGTGGCACCAGGGTTCCTAGTTATGCACGAGGCTTCCAATTCCTCCACATCCTCGCCAACACTTGTTATTTTCCTTATTTTTTTGCCTGCAACTTTGCTGAATTTATTTATTAGCTCTGGAAGTCCCTGTTTGTGCATGTTTATGTACTCTTTAGGGTTTTCTACATATAAGATCATGTCATCTACAAATAGGATGTCCTTTATTTACTTTTCTTGTCTAATTCTCCTAGCTAGAATTCCTCATACTATGTTGAATAGATGTGGTGAAAAGAGGGTATCCTTGTCTTATTCCTGTCTTAGGGAAAAAATTTTGTCTTTCACCATTGACTATGATGTTAGCTGTGGGTTTTTCATACATGGCCTTTATAATGTTGAGGAACTTCCCTTCTATGTCTTCTATGACTGTTTTTATCATGAAAGAGTGTTAGATTATGTCAAATGCTTTTTCTACACCAATTGAGATGATCACGTGTTTTTTCTCCCCCTTATGCTATTAATGTGGTATATTACATTGACTGATTTTCATACTTTGAACCATTCTTGCATTCTGGGGATGAATTTCACTTGGTCATGGTGTATTAACCTTTTAAATATGCTGCTAAATTTGGTATGTTAGTATTTTGTTGAGAATTTTCACATCTATATGGATAAGGAATATTATTCTTTAGTTTTCTTTAACGTGGTGTCTTTGTCCAGCTTTGGTATCAGGGTAATGTTGGCTCATAGAATGATTTAGTAAGTGCTCACGCCTGTTCAATGCTTTGGGAGCGTTTGAGAAGGACTGGTGTTAATTCTCCTTCAAATGTTTCATGGAGTGTACCAGTGAAACCACCTGGTTTCTTGATTAGTGATCCATTCTCCTTACTTGTGACAGGTCTATTCAGATTTTTTATTTCTTCCCGAGCCCATTTCATCTAGGTTGTCCACTCTGTTGGCCTACAGTCGTTCACAGTGATACCTGACGACATGTTTTGCTGTTGTTAGTTGCCCTTGAGTCCGCTCCAACACTGACCTTATTAACAACAGAACAAAATGGGGCCCCGTCCTGCACCATCTTCATGATAGTTGCTATAGTTGAGCCCATTGTTTCAGCCACTGATCTTTTTTATTTCTGTGAAATTGGTAATAATGTTTCCACTTTCATTATGAATCTTCTCTTTTTATTTTAGTCAATATAGCTAAAAGTTTGTCAATTCTGTTGGTCTTTTCAAGGAACCAACTTTGTTTCATTAATATTCTTTTTTTATTCTCTATTTTGTTATCTCTTCTTTGATCTTTACTGTTTCCTTCCTTTTGCTACCTTTGAGTCTAGTTTGCTCTTCTTTTTCTAGTTCCTTAAGGTGTAATATTAGATTATAGATTTCTTTCTTCTTTAATAATGTAGGCATTTACAGCTATAAATTTCCCCGTTAGTACTGCTATCGCTGCAGCCCATAAGTTTTGCTAAGTTTTATTTTTGTTTTCCTTCATCTCAAGGTATTTTCTAATTTCCCTTGTGATTTTTTTCTTTGACTCACTGGTTATTTAACAGTGTGTTGCTTTAATTACAGATATTGTGAATTTTCCAGTTTTCCTTCTTCTGTTGATTTCTACTTTCATTCCGTTTTGATCAAAAAAGATACTCTGTAAGATTTCAATCTTTTTAATTTCTTAAGACTTGTTTTGTGGCCTGATATATGGTCTATCCTGGAGAATATTCCATGTGCACTGGAGAAGAATGTGTATTCTGCCATTGACAGGCAGTGTTCTGTATATGTTTGTTAGGTCCAACTGGTTTACAGTGTTTTTGAGTCCTTAGTTCCTTATTGATCTTTCAGGTAGTTGTTCTATCCACTAATGAAAGTGGGATCCTGAAGTGTCCCAACTTGCAGAACTGTCTATTCCGGCCTTCAGTTCTGCCAATTTTAGCCTCTATATTTTGGGGCTCTGTTGTTATGTACATATAGGTTTCTAATTGTTACAACTTCTCGATGTAATGTCCTTCCTTGTCTCTTGTAATTTTTTTTGACTTAAAGTCTATTTTTTCTGATAACTGTACAGCCACCCCAACTCTCTTTTGGTTACTATTTGCATGGATTATCTTTTTCCATCCTTCTATTTTTAACCTCTTTGTATCTCTGTATCTAAAGTGAGTCTCTTGTAGACATCAGTTAGATGCATCATGTTTTTTTAAGCCAATCTGCAATTCTCCTCCTTTTAATAGAAGAGTTTATTCCATTTACATTTAAAGTATTTACTAATAAGGTAGAATTTACTTCTGCCATTTTGCTATTTTTTTTCTGTTATGTCTTATAGGCTTTGTTCCTCAATTCCTCCATTACTGTCTTTTTAAAATATTTACTGAATTGTTGTGGTGCATCTTTTTGATTCCCTTATTTCTTTTTTCCATGTATTTTTAAGTTATTTTCTGAGTGGTTACCTTGAGGATTACAATTAACGTTTTAAACTTATAACCACCTATTTTAAATAATGCCAATTTAGTCTGACTAGTATACACTCTGCTCCTATACATCTGTCCCCCCCTTCAAATTGTTATTATCATAGATTATATCTTTATACACTGTGTGCCCATTAACATAGCTTTAAACTTATTATTTTATACATTCACCTTTTAAATCATATATGAAAAATAGAGGAATTACAAGCCAGAAGTACACTACTGATTATTATATTTATCTATGTAGTTATCTTTACCACTGTTTATTTTTCTTACAGCTTCAAGTTATTATCTAGTGACCTTTCACTTCAGCCTGAAAGACACCCTTTAGCATTTCTTGAATGGGCAGGTCTACTGGTAATGAACTTGATGAGCTCTTGCTTATCTGGAAATGTCTTAATATCTCGTTTATTCTTGAAGAATAATTTTGGAAGATACAGAATTCTTGACTGAAAGTTTTGTTTTCTTTTTTTCTTTCAGGACTGCCTACTGGCCTCAGTCAGTTCAGACGAGATTTCAGCTGTTTCTTTTACTTAGCATCTCTTGTACTCGACAATTTGCTTCTTCTCTCTTGCTGCTTTCAAGGTTCTCTCTTTGTCTTTGGTTTTTGACAATTTGACTATGATGTGTCTCGGTATGCATTTCCTTGAGTGTATGCTGCTTGCAGCTCGTTCAGCTTGTTGGATGTGTAGTTTCATGTCTTTCATCAGATTTGGGACATTTTCGGCCACTGTTTCTTCAACTATTCTTTCTGCTCCCTTCTCTTTCTCTTCTTCTGGGACTCCTATGATGTATATGTTGGTTTGGGGTTGCCCCACAGGCATCTCAGGCGCTGTTCATTTTTCCTTCATACTTTTTTCTTCCTGATCCTCAGGCTTGATAATTTCAACTGTCTTATCTTCAAGTTTGTTTATCTTTTCTTCTGCCTATTACAATGGCCTGCTGAACCCCTCTAGTACATTTTTCATTTTAGTTACTGTACTTTTCAGCTCCACAATTTATGTTTGGTTCTTTTGTATAATTTCCATCTCCTTATTGACATTTTCATTTTGTTCATCCACTGTTTTCCTGATTTCCTTCACCTTAGTGAGCATATTTAAGACACCTGATTTAATGTCTTTGCTTTATAATTCCGATTTCTGAGTTTCCTCAGAGATGATTTCTGTCAAATTCTTTCTTCCTAGCCTGGGCGATATTTTCCTAATTCTTTGTGTTTATATATATATTTGTATATTTTTGTTGAGAACCAGACATTCTAAGTATTACAATACGTTAACTCTGGAAACCTGATTATCCCACTCCTCAAGGACTGCTGTTGGTACTTGATTAAGGTTCCAATCATCTGTTTGTTTAGTGACTTTTTCCAACTATTTTTGCAGAGTATGTATTCCTGCAGTCAGCCAGTGACCACACATGAATTTCATCAGAAAAAAGGGGGGCAAGGGCATACGGATCCTTTAGGCAGCTGCCGCTTGGTGAAGCTGCTGCTGTCAAGAGGGCTGAAACTGTAGCAAGTGTCTGTGCCACCAGACCAATCAGAATTCACAACCCTAAATACTTGGGAGAATAAGGTCCCCACTACCTGTCCTGGCACCAGCCAGCCACTCCAAGAACGCAGACCACTGACTCCACCACTGTGGCGGGGCTCAGGGATGGGGTATGGCAGTGGGTTTGCCGACACAGCTCACTTATGAACGATCAGCAGTTTCTTCCTTCATCATGCACTCCTCTAGTTGTTGCAAGTGTCCAGTCAGTTTCCAGAATTTCAGAAGAGTTGATGCTAATTGCTCTTTCCAGTTCAGTTGTTGCTGTGGTGGAGGGACTGATCCCCTACAGCCTCCTACTGTGCCATTTTGTGTGATGTTACTTTGTGTTTTATTTTTTTAACTTTATTTTAGCCTCTTAAACATTCATAATCTACCTAGTCACGGGCTTGGTGTGCAGGTTTTTTTTTTTTTTTTTTTTCCTGATACTCATTTTTCTGCTTAACTTCTATAGATAGGCATATGCCATCTGGAACTATTTCATGCAACACCAGTGATTCAGAGACCAAATCCTGAACACACTGGCCAGAGTCATCAACTAATTAGTATATTAATATAACCCAAGGCTAATGACTATACCTATCTACAGGGTAAAATCTCCTATACAGAAAACAAGAGTTTATAAAACCTCAAAAGATACTGAATTCAAAATGTGGGAGGAAAAAGACACCAAAATGAGAATTGATCCACTAAATGTCTGGCTCAAATTTATTGCTTTCGTTGGGAATATTTCAAAGAAGAACTGAAAGATGCCACTTTCAAACCAGGAGGAAAAACGAAAATTAGGCCCCCCTCAAATTCTCTATTGCTACTGGAAATAATTTATCTGCTAAAGAACAAATGCAGTGTCTTAAGTCTCTCATAACCCTGCTATTTTCTGTGCTACTTAACCCGGGAGAAGCAGAATGATGTGTGAGAAAACACCCAGACAGACAGATCTGGCTCCGGATGGCTCTCCACTTGCGTGCTATGTGTTCGTTCACAAGCCGCTCGGCCTCACTGAGCCTCAGTTTCCTCACCTCACAAGTGGATAGGTCTACCTTCCCTCTCCTTGGGTTGATAAACACAAACATGCTCATGAAAGCACTTAGCATAGTCCCTGGCACACAGCAAGTTCTCAGAAATGATATTACAAATGATATAAACATTTCCATTCATTTTTTATTATAGAGGCGGTAAGTATTTTCATTAGAATTAGAAAAATCTGAAACTTTTTACCCAGATAGCTCGCTTTTGCCAGTTTGTCTGCTAAAGACCTTGAAAAGCACCAAGGGCTGAGCAAGCAGAGATCTTTTGCCAAATACTGAAAAGAACGCCCATCCTGAGTAGGTGAGAAAGGCTTCCTGCGAGATACATCGTCATCCACGCAAGGGCAGCTGGATGAGAGGCCACACGTACCTATCCACTAGTTCCTTCATTCCCTCTTTGTCAGGTACAAGAGACTGGTCTTGGTCATCTGCTAGCGGGGTCCCAGCCTGGCGGTATATACAGCGCACCATGTACCGTACTTCTGACCAGTAATTCTGTAGCTGTTGAGATTCTCGGTCTGTCTCTGCTGAAATTTCTCTGTGAAAAGAACATATAAGAACACAGAGAGTTAGGATTAGACAAATTAACACACTCTGTTTTATCTCCTTACCCTAACATACTACCTTAGGGGATGAAGACTTTCCTCAAAGCACTCCCCAGGGTGGGAGGACAGAAAAATAGTTCACACATCCCATTCCAACATGCTATTCCCACCCTTTTTCAAGTTCATGCTGTTCACTGAAGCCACCTTTTCCCCATTCAATTCAAACCCAGGTTGACTGGCACTCCTCCATCTCCTCAACTCCTAGGAACCAGCGTCTGTCTTCTGTTACAGTAAGGACTGACGGCTTCCCCAGGCATAGCCCAGGGCACCCTCACCTACTCAGTTCCTGGGACCTGCGTCTTCCTGAGGGTGCAGCTCCTCCTCACACCACGTGAACGGTCACAACTACCTTTCAAACTGGGGAATGTTCAGGGTCCCTTCGGTTCTACCTGATCATCACTGTCAAGGTGGCCATGCAAGCAGCTCTCACTCCCCACAAAGCCCGTGCCTCTCAACCCTTTGGTCAGCATTGGGTCCTCTGGGTTTCCGGTTTCCTTCCTCAGCTAGACACAGGGCTGTTTCTGCACCCTACCCATCCCTGGGTCTCTCTTCCTTGGTTGTTTACCAGCTGTCTGTCACCAGCCTTCTCCCATCACGCCAGGTAAGAGGCCATTTCTCTCTCCTTCAAGTTACCTTAATGTTTACCTGCACTGATCTACTATTCTAATTATTTATGTATGTCTTCTGTTTTTTTCAGAGGACTAGCTTCCTGCTTAACTTCCTCGAAGGCAGGAAATTCTGCCTTATTCATCTGGTTATTCCTCACAATAACCAAGCTACTATCTTATTCTCAGGAGCGGCAGGAATGTTTGTGATATTTACTGAAATATTCCAGATTTCTGTTACAGCTCAAACAAAAATGAGTTTCACCGTCTCTGGAACCTGTATCTCCTCCTAGATGAGAGAGAGGCATCCCAGCCCAAGAGCAAGACGCACAGACCACATACCTGCGCTCACTGCAGGCCTCACAAGTGCAGGCTGCGTCAGCGGGCGTGGAGTTGCTGAGTCCTGCAGAGGGGAGTGTCTGGGCGCCAAGGGCTAGTCTCCCGCTGCCTCCTGCCTCCGGCTGCGATCCACCAAGGGGGTTGTGCAGGAGAAAATCTTGGCCCTGCTTTGAAAATAGATTAGTAATAGACTAGTTATGTTCAAATGTTCATGGCATCAGTTTTATTAACTGTGCAGAAAAATGCCTTTGAGAAAATTTTAAAACCTAGACACTGAAAATATTTTAACTGACATTACACAGAAAAACTTTTCTAATACTAAAGAATTTTGTTGGAACTAATTATTTTCTACCTTCTGATATTTTACATAATAATCACGTGGAAGATGTTCAATGCATTTCTTCCATGCTTTAAAAAAAAGGATTCTACTTCCAATGTCCTAATCGGCACGTGTGATGACCCCCAGTGTGCACCTCTTCGAAGTGACTTGCTTACTTAGTGAAGCCTAGCAGCCACGCTGCACCATCCCACAACCTTGCCGAGGCAGCAGGGACAGAGGTCTCTCTGCCCCATGGAATCACGCTGCCTGCTCTAAGCGAGGAACCTGGAGGAACCTGAGGAAGCCAACACTCAGCTAAATCCTGGGACTCCTGGGTAAAGACACGGGACGATGCAAGACCAGACTTTCTTACTTTCAAAGCCCAACAACAGCTAAACGTCAGCCAAGGTTTTACCAACAACCAGTAACGAGAACATAAATACAGCCTCAGGTGTTCCTGCCCCAAGACACCTTTTGCTGTTGCCCTTGTCTCAGAACTTGACACCGCTCTCCACCCAGCCACTGACAAAAACCTAGAAGGCATCCTGGGTCCTCCAGGAACAGCGCCTGAGCGGGACTCTGGTGTCTAGGCACTTCAGCTCAAGTCTTGGGGGTGAGGAGAGTGGAGGTGAGGGCCCTGCAGTGTGAAGAAAGGTGCCTGATACCTCCCCACCAAGCTCACTAATGGGGCAACTGTTTCACAGTCATCACCCCAAAGGCCTGAAAGAGAAGCACCGGAGATGTATGGGATGGGGGCTTCTTGAAGGGGATGCACAGAGGTAAAGAGAACCGCACTGATTCTTCTCCTCCCCGCACAAGGGGAAGGAAGATGAAGGAATTCATCTCCTCAAGCCAAGTGAAAGCCTTTGAGATAAGCCCCTCAGAGAGACTGAGGCATCAGCCTGTCATGGAGCAGCCTGGATTCTCACCCCTCACTCGATACTTGTTCAGATAGAGAAATTGCACAAATCTGACTTTCACATGGAAATGCCTGAAGGTAAAGACTCTTCCAGGCTTGTTCCTTCCTTCACCTCTTTCCCTACACCTCAAAGTCAGTGGCTGCTCCCTAAATCTGCAACGACTATATTCTTTAGCGTTCGCTTCACAGATCTGAGTTGCCAATCCCTAGTTACTAGTTAATTATTCTTTATGTTAGAATTTTCCTGTTCAAATTACCGCTGTGGTTTGGTTTCCTGCCTGGGCTCTGGCTGACATACCAACCCCAACCACCCTAGTTAAAGTCTGTAATATTACAGACTGCTATCTGAAATCCTGGTGTTTTATATGCTTGCTTGTTTTCTGGCCAGCTTCAATACTGGAATAGAACTTCCATGAGAGCAGGAACCCTTCCTGACCTGTTCATCCTGTACCTCAGCACCTGCAAGGGCACCTGGCACACGGAACAGACTCAATCAGTATTCATGGAATGTCTGAACAGCTATCAAGAACCATTAAGTAACATTTCCTGGTAACAAGAGATAAAGGTAAGCCTTTTAAAACAGGAAGCATGATTACTACCCAATAAATCCTTTAATGCGTCACCTTTTAGCTCTTCTTAAACAAATTTAATCTGTCATTAAGTTTGTTCAAGTCCAATACAATTTAAACCAATACAACAAAATCCAGCACTCAGAAACATAAAACTCACAGTGTCCAGCATCCAATAGCAAAACAAAGAAGCAGAGAAATCTGACCCAAGAGGAAAACCAATCAATAAAAAACAGACCCAAAAATAACAGAGATGATGCAACTAACCGACAAGAATCTGAGAATGACAGTTATAAATAAGCTCCCTACCTGCAAAAAAGTAGAGGAAAACCAAAATATAAAAGTGAGAAAATAGAACGTCTAGAGTTGAAAAATAAAATATCAAAAGAGAAAAAATACACCAGATAGAATTAAGAGCAGGCTAGACACAGCAGAATATCAATAAAACTGAAGACATGCAATAAAAATCTAGTATGAAGCACACAGAAAAACAACACTGAAACAATGAACAAAGCCTTCATGAGACAAAATCACAATGTCTAATGCACAGGCAATGGTGTCCCAGAAAAAGAGGTTGTGTTTTTACAAAGCCAAAAAATTTCCAGATTTGATGAAAACTATAAAGTGACATATACAAGCAGCTCAATTAATCCCAAGCACAATGAATACAAAGAAAACCATGGTACATCATAAGCAAATTGCTGAAAATCAATGATAAAGTAAAAATCATGGAAGCAGGTGCAGAAAGAGACACACTGCGCATTATGGAAGCAAAGAATGATAACAATAGACTTTTCCTCAGAAACCACTCAAGCCAGAAAAGAACAGATCAACAATCTAGAATCTTATACCTAACAAAAATGTTTTTAAAAAATGCAGGTGAAATAAAAGCTTTCAGACAAACAGAAGCTTGCCTGCACTACACGAAATATTCCAGGCAGCTCTTAAGTGAGAAGGAGAAGGACACCAGACGGAAACATGGATCCGCACAAAGGAATGAAGAGCGCCAGACATGCTCATGCTGTGGGTAAATACCAAAGACACTCTTCTCAAGTCACAAGTCTTTTTTAAGACATAACTATTCAAAGCAAAGATACAAACGGTGGGGATCAAAGTATAACGCTGTCAGGCTGGTTCTCACACTACACGTGCAGTAGTATATTATTGGAAAGTGGACGTTGACAAGTTAAAATGCATACTATAAGCCCTAGAGTAACCACTAAAAAATATGAAACACACAGATGTAGGCAGTAAGCCAAGAGAGGAACTAAAATGGAATCACAAAAAATAGTCAATTATTAAAAAAAAAAAAAAAAGGAAGGAAAAGAAGAACAGCAAAGACAGATGTAAAAACTAGGAAAAAAAATAACAACGGCAGGTATAAACCAAACACAGTGATAATTACATTAAACAGAAATAGTTTAAGCACTCCAATAAGTAGGAAAGACAACTGGATTGGATTAAAAAGCAAGAGCCGCTATGTTCTCCATTAGGGAATATAAAGACACAGATTGAAAATAAAGATTGAGAAAAGATATTCCATGCAAATACTGATCAAAAAAAGCTGGAGTGGCTATAATAGAGTATCCGACAAAGTTGGCTTTAGAAAAAGGAATATTACTACTGATGGAGAAGAAGAATAATGATAAAAGAAACAACTGAACAAGAAGGAATGACAATGCTAAATAGGTAAGGACCGTACTAACACAGCTTCAAAATACATTAAAAGTAGGAATAAGAAGGAGAAATAGACAAATCCAAACATACATATGGAAATTTCAACACTCTTCTCATTAACTGAACTAGAAAAAACACCACAAAGGATGTAGAAGACATGAATACCACCATCAATTTTATCTGGCATTCATAGTACACTCTTGTCTTAAGCTGGCTTCTCTAGAGGAGCAAGATCAGTGAAGCATAAGAATGTAACTACATAGAGATTTATTTCAAGGAAATGGTTCATGCAGTTGTGGAGGCTGTTATGTTGTTGTTGTTAGGTGCTGTCAAGTCAGTTCTGACCCATAGCCACCCTATGTACAACAGAACAAAACACTGCCTGGTCCTGCACCACCTTCACAATCGTTATGCTTCAGTCCACTGTTGCAGCCACTGTGTCAATCCATCTTGTTGAGGGTCTTCCTCTTTTTCGTTGATCGTCTACTTTACCAAGCATGATGTCCTTCTCCAGGAACTGGTCCCTCTTGACAACATGTCCAAAGTATATGAGACACAGTCTCACCATCCTTGCTTCTAATGACCATTCTGGTGTACTTCTTCCAAGACAAATTTGTTTGTTCTTTTGGCATTACATGGTATATTCAATATTCTTCACCAACACCATAATTGAAAGGCATCAATTCTTCTTTGGTCTTCCTTATTCACTGCCTACCTTTCGCATACATGAGGTGACTGAAAACACCATAACTTGGGTCAGACGCACCTTAGTCCTTAAAGTGACATCTTTGCTTTTTAACACTTTAAAGAGATCTTTTGCAGCAGATTTGCCCAATGCAATGCATCATCTGGTTTCCTGACTGCTGCTTCCATGGGTGATGATTGTGGATCCAAGTAAAACGAATTCCTTAACAACTTCAATTTCCTCTCCGTTTATCATGATGTTGCTTATTGGTCCAGTTGTGAGAATTTTTGTTTTCTTTATGTTGAGGTATAATCCATACTGAAGGCTGTAGTCTTTGATCTTCATCAGTAAGTGATTCAAGTCCTCTTCACTTTTAGCAAGCAAGGTTGTGACATCTGCATATTTCAAGTTGTTAATGAGTCTTCCTCCAATCCTGAGGCAGTGTTCTGCTTCATATAGTCCAGCTTCTCAAATTATTTGCTCAGCGTACAGACTAAATAAGTATGGTCAAAGGAGACAATCCTGATACCTTTCCTGACTTTAAACCACAAAGTATTCCCTTGTTCCTTTCGAATGACTGCCAAGTCCCAAATCTGTGGGTCAGGCATCAGGCTGGAGGCGTCTCCTCACTCACGTGGTTGCAGAGTCTTATGAACTCAAAGTCGGCAGGTCAGGCAAAAGGCTGCTGGCTCACATTCCAAGAACCAGAAGTCAGAGGATGTCGAGTTGGATGCAGGATCAGGAGAGAGGGCGAGCTTTGCCAGAACATCCACATATACTGGATGCAGGCCACGCTCCCAAGGAAACTCCCCTTTCAAGAGATTGGCTGCTCACATCAGATAACAAAATAGAGAATGATTACACAATATCTGCCAAACCACTGAGAGTCATGACCTAGCCAAGTTGACACTAACCTTAACCATCACAACTCCTCTCCACAGCACCAGAATATACATTCTTTTCAAAGGCATATGGAATATTAACCTAGACTTGCC